AGAAACCTGCAGTAACTTGTACCTAACAATAAGTCAGCAGCTTTTCTTATGTGGCTCTATAATAACAAAAAGAATTTTTCTTCTTTGTATTAGCTACAGGAGAATAAATCTTTTTCACATGTAATAATAACCAGAGTTCTAATTTGGGCTGATTATGATTATATTAAAATTATAGTTGAAGCTGCTTCATTACTTGCTAGTCCCACTGTCAGGTTTTTTGGCAGTGCAACTGGCTAGATAAATCAGAAAGGGTGCATTAATTTTATACTTTCTTTCAAATTCTGAAAGAAAATCTATAAATCTGCTGCTTATACTGCACTCTAGTTCCATTCTACCTTGAATTCATTTCAAGATGTTCGTTCGTTGGACAAATACCTGTTCTTGTTTATTGCAGTGATGTGCAGCTGTTCAAATCCAAAGAAGGAAAACTGCCTTGGATCTGATAAGGGTCATGGTACACATCAGTGACATTTTAAATATAATGACATTTCCTGTTCTTTATTCATTGCCTTCTGAACTGACATATTTTCTTAAGATTTGCATGACCCCCAAAAGTGGAAGAACTTATTTAAGGCAATTCATTGAATCACTAACCTTTGATATGGCAGATGATGAGATTTACCATCAGACTTTCAATAATCTTTCATGTGATTTGCACTATTGTGCATGTTTACCTCTAGCACATTCTAAACAAGATGGATAGATTATCTGGACTCAATCATATCCCATTCAATTCTCTTACTAGTTATAATTAAGTATACTTTTCATTAACCAAAGTATGCTTGCTAACTTGTCAAGGTAATAGGGCTACACTGATAAATTGAAAATCTTCATGGGTTGCATATATTGAAAATGCTAATCAACTGTTCCATGGCTACTGGAGCTGCAGAATTACTAGAGCTGCTTATATCTGTTTGTCTATCTTTCTGTCTGTCTATGAATCTATCTTCTTTATCTGTTTAGGCAACACGCTATGTATACAAAAAGCACATCTTAACAAGAGGACTAAAGCCTGGAGGATAGCCAGGTTTTCAAGGAGTTCTGGAGTGCCATTAGGGTGGAAGCCTAATTCTGTCTATGTACTAAATCCTAGCCCGAAATCTGATTGAAATTGGTCCAAGTAATCCCTTGTTTCAAGTGTTCTGTAACACCTGAAGGCAGGATGGTAATTGTTCAAAATTGTTGAGTTCAGGACAGAGTTCTGTTAAGGACAGAAAGACTAGCATCTCATGTGTCAAAGAGGTCAACACAACAACTTGGATGCAACTGCAAGCCACCAGAAATGCCAGATATCATAACTTCCCTCATTTTCAGATAATAGTATCTTGAGTTGTATTTGGTTATATTAGTGTTTTGACTCTTTTGCAGACATTAAAACCATAATTTGTTCATGATCATGTATTTTTAATAAATAGTAAAGTTTAGGTGGTGTTAAACAAAGTGTTTCAATGATTTAAACTGTTTTGATGATTTCTCTGAAGAGCATCATCATTTTTGCAATGGAAACTTTTTAAAGAAGCTTAATAAATGTAACTAACAAACTAACAGCACAGACTGTATTTTATTGAATATCTATTCAGAATATCCTGTAGTTTAAGAACTATATTGTGGGAAAGTTATCTGGATATTATTCTGTGTGGTTGCTGAAATTTCCAGTATCTGCAAATTCTCAGCGGTATGAAATGCATCTTTCCAGATAATGATTTAGATGCAGATCTAGATGCCTAAAATAAATCCAACAGACAACCTAGAATAAACGGAAACAGATTAAATAGATTTGCATAGGCCTATCTAAAATACAACAAGATCTGGATCTAAGCCAAATTAATGTTTCTTGCTAATTTGTTTCTGTCTCACTCTGAACTTTAGTTGTTAAAAAATAGAGATTATTTTCTTATGAGAAAAAAAGCCCTAGAAATTTGGGACTCTTTAAGGAAAAGGCAACTGGGAGATGTGTATATAAAATCATGTAAAAATAGGAACAAATTTCCTCTTTCAAATTACCACTGTATATCTAATTATTAGCAATATAATACTCATATAATTGTTCATGGTATTTATTCTTTTCATTGCACTGAGACAATGGTCACTGAAAACATATGTCCACAGTAATACTAGAACTTAAAAGCAAGTAGCTATCCAAAAAGTTTCCAAAATAAATATGAATATGATGCCAAAGAATTAACCAAGGGTTTACTGATAAGCAATATGACAATATATAAATGTTGGTTCTCTAGTTGTTACAAATTAATTTTCAGTTTTGTTGGGAAATTAAAATAATTACATGCCAGTTTAATGCCAAAGAAGTGGTATAAATCCAATGTCAATTTAATGTTCATTATACAAAACATGCACTTTCTGAAAAATAACTGAAATATTTAAGTTACATAATTGTGGTTGCTTTTTTATGTGGCATTTCTAAAAATGTAAAAGAGGTAATTCTTTAAGACAATTTTGCTAACAGAAGAGGTAATTACAGTTATGGGTAAAGCATGTTGATTATTAGATATATAATTGGTGAGAATATGGATGTCTGAACAGAAGTACGTGTTCCTACTTGTTGCAAAAATAAGTGCACAGTTAATTCTGCTTGAATGTAGAATTTGTAACACGTTATGAATGCTGTCAAATAAAAGTTCTTTCAGTTATTTAAATTAATATTCACAGTACAATAATATGTAAAAATGTTTGTTAGAATGAAAATGAATTAATCATATTGATTTATACAGCTATAGAAACATTTACAGCACCTCTAAGTTAAATTATATACATACTGGGCAGAGTAAGAAATTATTCTGCATATGCAGCCCTGAAAATAAGCTGGAACAAGTTTTATGACCCTAATGCTAGTTCCACTTGACAGAGTTCTATCAATAAGAGGTATAAATTGGGCAGAATTGGGAAAATAAGGAATCTGAACAAATGTTGGTAAATTAAAACCTTCCCAACAAAGTCAGACGATTGTTCCCTCTTGCTTTTGATCTTTGTGCTATGGTTGAAAACCAGATTAATATGAATATTATTTTTAGAAGTGTTAATGTTTAATTTGATGAAATGTACAATTGATGATACGAATTTGAAAATTGTTACATAGTTTTAATATATTTACAAAACCCACACAGATATTGCATTTTATTTATGTTTGTAAAAATAGAGCTGAATTTTAGATACAGGAAAAAACTTTTTCTCAAAGTTCAGTCTTATTACTAACTACAATTTCCTGTAATTGGAGGATTTTTTGGAGGATTTTTAAAATAACTTGAAAATTGCCTTATTCAGGATGAAATTGACTGTTAGATTTTAATTATTTGAAAGTTGTAGCCCCAAACATGGAAAGTACCAAGCAGAATATAGCTTTGCCAGAAGGGTTTGCTGGAGTGGTTAATAACATTTTATCTGCTTAAGGATAAGCTTTTCCAACTTAAGGTGCTTTAAATGTCTGTGATTTTAGGTTTTGTTTTATTTTTATTTATTTATTAAATCTATTTGCCGCCTATCTCGCTGTGGGGATATTCTAAATGACTTACAACAGTAAACATTAGAAATGAAAAAAAGTGTAAGCATAACAGTAGCAAAGTAATGGAACAATAGATAGTATAAACTATGAAAAAACAATAATGAGAATAAAAGATGTGCAGGTGGGGAAGCAGGGAGTAAAATGGAAGAAGTAGGGTTTACTGTCAGTCCAGTAGCCATTGCTTGTGGTCTTCCTTAGCTTCCTAAGCCAAACAAAGAAACCATGGTTGAAATATTTTACTCTAGAAAATTGTCTTGTCCAAATATTTGTTAATTACTGCTAAAACTAATTTTAGATTGCACCTTCAGAGATTAATTTTCAAGATATGCTTTACCTCATATAACTCTATGGAGGAGCTATGGTGGCGCAGTGGTTAGAATGTAGTACTGCAGGTAACTTCTGCTGACTGCCGGCTGTCAGCAGTTTGGCATTTCAAATCTCACCAGGCTCAAAGTTGACTCAACCTTCCATCCTTCCAAGGTCAGAAAAATGAGGAACCAGATTGTTGGGGGCATTAGGCTGACTCTGTAAACACGTAGAGAGGGCCGTAAAGCACCGTGAAGCAGTATATAAGTCTAAGTGCTATTGCTATTGTTATGTTATAAAAGTGATAAATAAATGTTTATTATTTATATTAATCTATTTTAGAAATTAATTTGCCATTTTCATTAATGCCTAGCATAGAATATAAGTGTATCCTGGTGACAGAATATGTGTATTCAGTGGAATTATAAATAAAGGTCTGTTCACCTGTTATGTTTTAGCACCTTGTGTTACATGTTTTATGTCTAGAAACTGTCATGTTTAGAACACATATGGAACTTGGCAAAATATATATACAGACGCTTGTCATTTAAAAACAAGTAATGGAAGTGTATGTCAAGCACTATCCTTTAAATAAATTAAGCTTATCTAATACTAAGGTGCCCCTATAAACAACTGTTAAATCAAAGTTATATGAAAACAATTAACCAGAAATAAAATGTATAGACAATTAAAGGTTGTTAATATAAGTAAACTTTTACAATGATCACTGGAACATGTTATTTTTGGCATGGGTTGATTCACATTTGATTGTTAGTCTTGTTCCATTTGAAGGTATAGTCATCTGGTTATTTTCAGTATTTTTCAAAAACTTTGCCATATATTCATCACAGCATTCAATCAATATGACAGAGCCAGATTAATAAACAATATCAATTTGCTGATCAGCTTTATTATCAAGTGATGACAACTGAATTCTCCATTTAGAAAATAAATAAGAGTTTAGATTAATTACTTGCGTATCACTGAATAATTAATTTTGTTATCTAGTGCAATTAGTTGATCATGCATGAACCTGATATATAAACATTTTGTTTAATTAATTCTGTTGTGCAGTTTATTCACAATCTGTGTCTATATTAGGTTAATAATGTAAATAAAGATTAAATTCTTTAATTTGTTTTGACTTGTTTTAAGGCTGACATTTTTTGTATTCTAGGCAGCAGGAGCAATCCGTCCTCTTGTTTCCACAGTTATTGCTTCCACCACAAATGGATGTTTAGACCATTCACTAGATCGTGGCAAATACAGAGCAAGTGAAATGCCTCAGGCTTTCTTATTTGATAAAATTCATCAAGCATATCTTCAGGTAAGTATTCTGGTTTTTGCCCTCATTATAATAGTAAGAACTGAATTAGCTGTTTAGTATTAAATGCTTAAGTATTAAAAAAGAAAAGAAAAATATATAATGATTTTGGCTGTTTTAGGGAAGCTCTCCTTTCTTAGGTAAGGAAAACAAAATAAAAATGCTATGTCAATCATTTTTTATCAGAAAAATATCAAAAAGGGCAAGCAAATATAACTATATTGTTTTTTCAACACTGGTCATACAAGCCAATCTTATAAATCTCTGATTTTTTAAAGTATATTTTTAAATATATTCTGTATCTTTTTCAAAAAGAAGTTTCATTGGTAGTTTACTACTCATCTTTGTTTCAAAGGGAAAATCTTTCAGAATTTTTAACAGATTTTTTGTACCTATAATCTTATACTTTTGCTTGTCACTTCTAAAAAGATCATTGTAAGTCTTAGCAGTGTTCTTAAATCAATTTCCTGATTTAATCTCTGTTCATCTCTGATGGGAATAAGTGATTTATACTTAAGTCCTCTGAAACCAACTGTGTGACTTTGGGTTTTTGTTGGAATGTAGTCTGGATTTTCAGGAGGAAGAGGTTGTATTCTGGAGTGTAAAGAAGTAGCAAAGCTTATGTCGTTTGATTGGGAGAAAGTTAAGGCTCCTCTCTATATCTATAGTGATAAAAATAGTTGATTTAGTTTGGCAAGATTTATGCCTATAGATGAGGAACAATAAAAGAGACTGTTCAATAGTAATTCTACATGTTTTTTTGGTTCATGAGGCTTGATAGGCCAATAGTCTCTTTACTCAATTTATCTCATAGGGCTGTTGTTGTTGTGGGGAAAATAGAAGGACGGAATATTAGGTATCTTCACCATCTTGAGCTATTTATAAAAGTAATAAAGGAAGGATATAAATCATTTTTCTTTTATTCAGATATGAAGCTAAACTTACCAGGTAACATTTCATTCTTGTGGAAGATCTCTAATATCTTTAAGATATTTTTTGAAAGTGATTGGAAAATGAGTTAGCGAACTCAGTAGGCTTTAAAAGGCTCTGCCATGTTTGAGAATGTGATGATTAATATCACTCAAACATGCTGTCCTGCAGTCTCTTTTCAAAGAGAAGTCATCTAGACAACAAGTGGGCAATATCCTGTACCCTTTTTATCTAAACAGATTCTGTGGGACCAGTCTCCTTCCAGTCTTAGCGTAGTTACTGTCTCCATTCATCTGAAGACATCTTAGCTCGCCGTTCCTCACCTTGAAACTATTCTGTAGTGTTTTTTTTTCCCTTGGCTAAGCATTTAGCTTGTGGGTTAATGCTTGATAGATCCTCACAGCCTCGTTTACCTACTATGATAGCAGTCTATTATTTCCCAAGGATATGTCTACCTGTTACCAACTGTATCTCATTATCCATCTGTAACTGAGATAGCTGGAAGATGAAGGTTTTCTCTGGAAGTGTCATTTTATCTCTTACCCTACATTCCAATGCTACAATTGAGAATGAATGAAATCAGTGGGGATGGAACTAGAAATGACATTGGCAAATTTGCAGTTCCAATTAATTCTGCTTGTTTCCCATGGAAGATTCCCTTCAATCCACTTTCTGACCTGTTTTTCTGCCCCACAATCCTCTTTTGGTTGAGAGAGACACAGGAATTCTGTTTTTTGCAGACATGGTTTTAATGATTGCATACATGATAGCCTTTCTATCCTGTACAAACCTATAGGCGTAAATTGCTCATAATGGTGAATGATTTGTGCCTGAACGTTTTAAATTTGTCTTAGTGAATATAACATTTTAACAATATGTCTCATAAAGTAAATACTGTAGATCTTCCTCACTCACCTCAAGTCAAGAGCTCAATTTCAAAAACTGAAGAAAAAACTGGATTAATTTATACAATGTTTTGATATGCCACAGAAATTAAGAAGGAATGACAGCTCCTTCTCTAACGGACTGAATAGAACTGTATTATTTCCAGAGCTATCACTATCTCAAACTTTGAATTATTAATGAAATTCCAACCCATTTCTACACAAATTGATATTAAATTTACAAGTTTGATAATTGGCATATCTGGGATCCATAGAGATCTTAAAATCATGGAAGGGTTGAAGACAATTATTGCTATTTCTCTATAATTAAAACCTGAGACAAATGATCAATTTCATGATAAAAATAATTACAAAATTACAATCAGAACTAGTTAAAGTATGGGGCAACTTAGTAGAAATAATTAAAAAATAATTAACCTATCATTGAATGATGAGTAGCGGAAACCTTTATTGAATAACACTGAAGAATGCCTTTGGGAATGCTTCTCATTGCCAGTTGATTTTAAAGTAAGATAGATAATATTTACAGATTAAGAGCAAGAGGGAATCCCTCACAGAGACTCTTCCTTATAATTTTTAATTTATAAAGTCTAGTACTAGAGATCATATTTTACAGCTTTCAAGGCAAACTACTAAATTGAAAGACTATGGATAAATTATGATTTATCCATATTTCTTTACAAATGCTTCAGTTATGGAAAGTTTTTGATTTAGTGCCTGCACCTGCAAAAAGTTAAGTATTGTTTTTAAATGAACATTATATTGAGTTAATTGTATATTTTAAGGGAGATTCTAGAGTTATCTTCTATTAGCTATATTAAATGCAAAAGTTAATGAAAAAGTTTTTATAGCAAGCTAAAACTCACTTGAATATCAGCGAAACTGAGGTTATGTTAAGATGATGGTAGATTAGCTATCTCATTTTCATCAGGTTTTATTTTAACATTATATATTTATTGGAACAATATTTTTATGAGTATTCTTCTCTTTGGCCCCTTTTGAAGAACAGACTTACTCTAGAGATGAAGGATAGTAGTGTTCCAATATTTCAGGGGTTGCCACACAGAAGAGGAAGTCAAGCTATTCTCCAAAGCACCTGAAGGCAGGACAAGAAGCAACAGATGGAAACTGACCAAAGAGAGAAGCAACCTAGAATTAAGGAGAAATTTCCTGACAGTTCGAACAATTATTCAGTGGAACAACTTGCTTCCAGAAGTTGTGAATGCTCCAACTCTGGAAGTTTTTAAGAAGAGACTGGATAACCATTTATGTGAAATGGTATAGGGTTTCCTGCCAGAGCCGGGGGTTGGACTAGAAAACCTCCAAGGTCCCTTCCAACTCTATCATTATCATTACCATTACCATTATCATTTGAAATCTTAGCAAGTTTTGTAGTCTAGGCACACTAAGCAGATCTGTATCTGAAAGCTTCAAGGGTTGTTTTTTTAAATAGGAAATTAGTTATTTGATTCTGAACCACATGAGATATTGACCTATGGTATTATACTAATTTGAAAATAGTGGAGAAGATATTTTATTGGCATGCTTATGGTAAACAAGGGATCATCATTCTAATGATTATTGTAAAGATTTTTAAAGATTCCATGTTGAGTGTAACCTATGTACAATTTTCATTTGAGAAAATATGTAACACAAGAATGTATTAAGCAGTACAGGTAGTCCTCGTCTTACTACCACAATTGATCCCAAAATGTCTTGCTAAGTGAGACATTTGTTAAGTGAAAATTTCCCCATTTTCTGACCTTTCTTGTTATAGTTGTTAAGTGAATCACTGCAGTTATTAAATTAGTAACATGGTTGCTAAATGAATCTGGCTTTCTCATTGACTTTGCTTGTCAGAAGATTGCAAAAGATGATCACATGAACGCAAGGCAGTGCAACTGTCATAAATATGAACCAGTTGCCAAACATCTGAATTTTAATCACGTGACCTTGTGAAAAAAGGTCATCAGTCACTTTTTGCAGTTCTGTTGTAACTTTGAATATTCACTAAATGAACTGTTGTAAGTCGAGGACTACCTGTGTTGCTCAGATGTTCTAGCACAGTGATGGCAAACCTTTTAGAGACTGAGTGCCCAAAAACCTGCCCCGTCCCCCCGCTCTGGCTCCATCCTGCCCGCTCCATCTCTGCCCGCAGGGCCATTCACCGCCTCCATGGCCCGCCGCATATCACTCAGGCAGCCCAGCAGTGCCATGGCAGCCATGCCCTCTGCCCACACCCCGCAGCATCAACTGAGCGCGATGGGCTACAAGGACGGAGTCTTGTCCACGCTGCCTGGCTGCCATGTCCTTGGCTGCGCTGCTCCAGGGGAACTGCTGGTGAGGAGGGGGCGACGGGGGGAGGCAGGGCTGGGGCGATGGCACACGTGCCCACAGAGAGGGCTCTGAGTGCCGCCTGTGGCACGCGTGCCAAAGGTTCGCCACCACTGCTCTAGCAGCTTCTGAGGTATTACAGTTTTAAATTTATTAAAAGATGTATCACTTGAATGTAAAACAGATGAGAAAGAGAAAAGCAGAGAGACAAATGAAAGGGATTCCTTTTTCTGCTTATCTCAACTCCTAAAGACATAATTATCACAAAAAAAGAAGAGACAAAGGCCTTATGATTCTAGGTTTGCCTCTCTAACTATATGTTCTTTGTATTTCAATAAACTTTAGACTTAAACATAATCTTTGTCTGTAAAGAGAAGTAGAAGAATAAAAAAGCCCAAGTAGTTTGGCTTTTACAAATAAATAAATAAAAATAAAAAAATCATCTCCTTTCAATTTTATTGCTTCATGGCAATTTTATTAATACTAACATTCCACAAGAACATTAACAAGAGATCCGAGCACACATTCTGCACTCCCCACTGTATTGCCGGGAAGGAAGAGTTTAAATAAGTTGTCATATTTGTTAAAACATTAAATCTGAAACAGAATTGGTAGTCTGAGTGAACCTGAATGTTTTAGATAATTCTGTACTGGTTATCTCTTTGGCATGCTGATTCGTTATGAAATTTGCTGTTGTATAATAAGTGCATGGATTGGGCTATTTTTAAAAAGCTACAAAATACTGAGAAGGAAAAAAAATCATCATTTCATTAACGGATAATCTTAGTTTTATAACTTGCTTATCATCTTGCAAGAATTTCTTTAGCTTCTGCAGAACATCTGTGAGCCTTCTAAAATAACTTGTCTAAAATATTCTTTTAAGGTTTATATAATTTTAAAATGTTGTCATACAGGCAGCACACAAATATTGCAAGAGAGAGAGAGAGAAGTACCATTTAATGTTATATCAGTTAATGATTACTGATTATTTAATCAAATCTATTTGAATTCCTTCATTGCTTTAAATTAACATGTTAATTGGATTATTTACAAGCTGCAAAATGAAGAGTATAGCATTTTTCATAACTAGGTCACTAGATCATGTATATGTATATTGCTACATAGACACACACACACACACACAGAGAGTACAGTATGTTTTCTTTGCTATAAAAGCAACCAAGCAATAGAAACTGCACTGTGAAAAGACTAAATGCCAGTATCTGCTTCTTCTTAGTGCAGGATCCTTTGATACTTTCATAAATCTTTATTTGATACAGTCACAGATTCCAGCATCCCCCTGCTTTGATTCCTTCCATGATTTCTTTTACATAAATACTTGCTGTAACTTAATCAGAGATATGAGATTCTAATTTGCTTCTGAGTAAATTCCATAATCTAGATGCATATTTATCCTTATCATACATTTTGGTACTTTACTAGTTTTTGGGGGTTTGCCTTAAATTCTTTATCTTAGTATTGTGATTTATTTATGTATAACATAATGCCAATTTGCAATCTTGATACAATACTGCTAGTATATTGGGTATGAGCAGAGACTACAGGTAAATCCTCAATTTACAACCACAATTGGAACTGGAATCTTGCTCTTGTGTGGTTGTTCATGTGACCACTTTGCTCCTGATTGCAAACATTAATCATCTCCTAGGTGGACGGAGCAGAGGAGTTCCCTGCCTGGAGGACATCTCATTCCATGACATTACACACACACACACACACACACACACACAGAGAGAGAGAGAGAGAGAGAGAGAGAGAGAGAGAGAGAGAGAGAGAGAGAGAGAGAGAGAGAGAGATTCCCTTTTGACAGACAATTCTTTGGCAGTGAAAGGGCAGGGAGACAGGCCAAGAAAAGGGCTAAGAGGCAAAGAGAAAGATTTTGGATTTTTGCTGCCAAGGTTCAAGCAGGCATTGACTTTGGGTCACCTCAGAGGTGAGAGTGAACGATTTTTAGTTCATGCCAACTCAGATTTTGATCCTCAAAGTCCAAGCCTGCACAAATCAGCTGGGAGCTCTTTCAGCCAGCTCCCAGAGACAAGAGGGAATCCTCTCAGCGGGTGGTAACAGCTTGCAATCCTCCCTTGCAGAATTACTCATTGATCTCCCTCCATTGGAAAGATCAGCAGAGAAGATTGCAAATGCAATTATGGTGTATAGTATTTCAAATATGTTTAGATTCATATAGCAGTTCTCATCTCTTTGTGTGTATTTATACTTAAATGTTTTCTATTATAATGATAAAATGTTAATGCTGAGCTATAACTTGACAAATGGTTGTAAGTTCAATCAGGTTGCATCATGTGACTATGCAGTAGTGATTCTGTGGCATTTTGCCATGGTCAGAAGTGCATTACAGGTGTTGTAACTTTGAATGGTTGTTAAGCAACCAGTCATTAAGTTGCATTTGTATCCTGATGCTATGAGACATCATTATATTAGTAAATATGTAACTGAAGCACAATGATAATTGTGGAGCAAAAAGAGATTGGATTCCAAAGTGATAGCTCAGCATTAAAATTGTTATCAATATAACAATAATTATGCTGTATGAATATAAAAATATTTGAAATACTACAGAGTTTACCTCTTTTCCAGAGGTGTGTGTGAGGTATTGTATTATAGCAACATTTCTAAAGGATTAACCAAACAGAGCAGTGCAATCTATTTGGTTGACATTCTGTATATCCATTGAAGATCAAATGCCATATTTTATTTTTAAAATATTCTATAATTTGTTCTTTTTGTTTTCTATAGTGTAGTGACTATGATCTGGATTATGGAACAGAATGTTTGCATCTAGCTCTAAAATATAACAAAATAAATGCTAAGCTTATTGAAGGATCTCCTGATCTATGGAAGGTAAGAGCATTGCTATTGCTACTTATTAATAGTGAAACCTTTTCTCATGATATGGAATTTTTTACAGGATGTTAATGGCTAGGTGTTAACAGTACGAATTTTAATAAAAACATCTAGTCATCTAATTAAATTTAATAAATTAATTATATTATTTAATAATACTTGTGGTTGTGTTACTAAATACTTTAATAAATAATTTGTGGTTATGGTTAATAAGATCAATAGTAAAATCAATAGTAACATTTAAACATCTTGAAAGAGAAAGCATAGAGGAGAGTAGAAAATATTCTGGTAATATCAAACAGCAGGTATTCTCTTGCACGCTGTGCAAGAGAATAACACAAAGTGTATTGCATAATGGATGGGTTTGTATCTTTTTCCTCCTGTTTTGGGGGGTAGTAGCAGAAAAGTTTTCTTTATATCTTAATTATGCAATATCAAGTTTGGAGCTTATATTACAGTTACACATTACAAGAAATTGTAATTTTCTATAACATTTACCAGAGGATCTTTCATGGATTATAAATTGCACATATATGCAAGTTCGTGGCCTGCCAGGTTAGCTTCCATGTTTCTTCTAATTATATATATATGATAGGGAGAAGAAAATGGAAATGAACTGTAGTCTTTAGGAGTTCCATTGGAGAAAGAGGGTAGTCTAGTCTCACTACTTGAATATTGCTAGCTGCAAATAAGGAAAGTAATTACAGACTTGTTTTCTCTGCTGGTGATTGGAACAGTCCAACAAATATGTAGCCTTGGCAACAGCATCAATATTTGGTGGCAAAAGTAGGAATATAATCAAGCGCTGATCTTGTCCCTTTATCATGCATTGCGCATCTCAGGTTTAGCTATTCTGACTGGCAGGAAGAAAAAGCAAGAATGGCAAGTGTATTTTTTTATTCTTGTTAAGATATTTAACTTGAATATTATGTTGTAAGAATTACTAACATGAACTTTTGAAACCATCAGTCTATGGAGAGTATTACCATATATTAATTGTCCTATTTTGTAAATTTATATTGAATTTATTTTATTTGCCTCTCTATTGAAGAAAAAATGTTGAACAGTTAGAAAACCTAAATACTTATAGATGATATTACCAGCATAGGCAAATTATGCCACTTCAGCTGCCCAAATGAACCTACAAGCAATAACTAAATTGCATAGGCAAATTACATTCTAGAAGCGATTAAACTTGGATTATAAGGATACATCCTGGCTCATATATAAACTTAAGATCTCATAAATTCAGTTGAATTTCCTAGGATTTTGTTCATTACCCCAAAATTCACCCTATAATGCAGTTTTGAGGCTTGAAGTTAATGTGTCAAGTATTAAGACTTTGGTCTGTTCCTGGATTCTAATCTGAGGACTCAGAATCATATTTGATAGTATTGGCCGTCTGCCTCTGCTGTTGTCAGAAAGCAACCAAATCTTATTGGCACCATACCTATATAGGGCATTCCTTCCACCTTTTAGCTTGCTTTTTAAACTCTGTTTTACCATGTCCTTCACTTTGTTTTATTATTGCTTTTAATTATTTTTCTTTTATGGTGTCCTTTTTGTGATGTCCTAAGACATGTTATGATTTCTCTAAATTTGAAATCATCTCTAAATTTGAAATCATACTAATAAATGCTAGATTTGTTACTTTTTAAGAGATGTTAAGTCATATACCAGGTGCCAGATACTTTTCATCAAGTAATGCAGTTGCACAATTAGATATCTTGTTTTATTGTCTTTATTGTTTTTACAATAAATACAATAATGAATTGCTTTATTAAATTACCCTCCTTTTTTACTACATAAACTGATCAAAGAATGTAATAAAGATATTTTATTTGATGATATTGTGCACATTAATATTATAATTTTCAGATATAGAGTTGTTACTGAATGAATTATGACTACTTTATTAATTGTAAGTTATAATAGCATTGTTAAATGAAATACATACTTCTTTGCAAGGTATCAAAAATTAATGCTCAGTAGATTTTAAATGCTGCAAAGTCTATTTCAAATCTTTTAGAAAAATAAGATTAACAAATTAAGAAATTTTGGGAGGTGCTTATATATAAACAATTGCTTTTGGACACTGTTCTGTTTGCAGTTATAGATTAATATATTGATTGTTTTAGAAAATCAAATCTTATTTATCCTTTAGGTAACTTACAAGTGGGATCTTTTTGCAGCTGATTGTTTAATCAAAGGTATGTGTTTTTTCTCGTTCCTGCAATTTACATATTATCTTCTAGGCCGTGGACACAGTCTCCAATTTTTGGGTTACCTTTCAGCTCCTTCTACCTGAGACTTATTTACAAATAATGGGAAAAGCTCCGGCATATAAAAAAGAACAGTAATTAGAATAAAATATTTCTATAATTATATTTGTTAAGTCTGAAAATATATTAATCATTGAGGGTTGCTGTTGTAGAATGTAAATTTTGCTTAATATGTTAAATTAGAGGGAAATGGTCAGTGAGTGTGAATAGCTGATGAGTGATATGGTGAATATGTATATGCATTCGTATATGTGCTGCCTTTGTGAAGAACAGAAATGCTATTATAATTATTTTTATCCCAAATAGCAAATATATTGCTGTCATATGCATTGGTGCCCTTTTGAATTTTTGAAAAGACAGCATTGTAGGTTTTTCTTTTCATTATTTCTGTATTATTATTATTATTATTATTATTATTATTATTATTATTATTATTATTATTATTATTATTATTATTATTATTATTATTATTATTATCTGTATTTCCCCATTTCAATAGAAGGTCAAGTTAGAGAAAGATAAAGGCAGATTGGTATAAAAGTTATTTTTTGCAATTTCTTATAAAAGTAAGCTACTGTACACTTAGGAGTATTTACTAAATACAATATGGTCATCTTTCATTTGAATAGAACAAAGCAACTTGACCCTTCAAATACTGTTGAATTATAACTCCTAGCATAAACCATAAGGGTACCATTGGCTACAATATCTGGGCTGAGTGGTTCAGCAGCATTTGAAGGCATATATCTTCCTTGTTTCTACATTAGAATAACCCGGTGATCATCAGATATTCTGTTGGCAAATTATCTCGTTCATTAAGCCTAAGCCACATTGTATTTGTGTTTATTCAGATACATGAATAAAATTGACTAAACTGGCAGAGATGGCAAAATTAACTATATTGATTAGAAACAATGGATTAGATAAATTTGTAACAAATTGGCAGCCATTTGTGGATTTTCTGCATGTTAAATATAATAATGTTGTATTTAACAGAGGTCTTTGAAAATTATTTTTACTTTTGGGGTTCCTGTTGATTGCTTTCTTTATATAGTGAAAAAATGCTGGGTCGATTGGATTGATAGATAAATAGATTTTCACATCAGGGACATTGTTTTATCTAACACAGTATTTTTACTAGATATAGATGGGAAAGTTTATAATTACTTGTAGACCTGTTATGCTAAGGGGAGGACAATACATCATATATTTTTGATATATTTTTCAGCATTCAACCAGGGTGTACATTTATGTTTAATGCCAGTATGAATGATGCATTCATCATTTGTTATTTTTTTGCCCTTTTTATTAGTATTCAATGTTAATTTGTTTCTTCTTTTTTCTTCCTCTTTTCTATATTTTGTATTTTAACTTTGAAATAAAATAAAAATTTTGTAAACAAGATATATTAACATACTACTTTACAAAACAACATTGCATTTATTGTGCAGACTTGTTGTGCCCACCCATGATTAATTGTACAAGCTCAGACTTACAAGTTGTTACATCAGCCAAAAATGCCAAGACTAAAAACCTGAATTTAATTTATATAAATAAACTATTCTAAAACAATGATGATGTTTTTTCTTCTCTCAATGTACATTTCTGGGGAAATGGTCTACCAATTATCATATATTTATGTTTTTTATATTTCCATTTAATTTGTGTGTATTTGCAAACAATTAGTTTTTGACTTGGGACCATACTTAAGCCCAAATTATCTGTAGCTAAGTGATACAGTTGAGTTTTGCCCCATTTTATTGCCGCAGTTGTTAAATGAATCACTGCATTTTTTAATAACACCTTTGTTAGGTACATCTGGCTTCCCCATTTACATGTAGATATTTGCTTTATCATTCATTTGTCTTAATTATAAATGAACCATAAATGGCATAATGTGAGGGATTGATGCAAGTTATATCATACGTGAGTGAGGGGTAGTTTCTGTGAGAGTTTGTTTGCTTATTTCAAATGGTTTTTTTGTGTTTTTTATATTGTTGCCTAAAGTTTCTATTGATATATGGGTGGCCATATATGTTTGTTAAATAAATATTACAACTAAATACTAAACTGAACGCTTGCATAGATACAGGAGTTTCAGATAATAGCTTATAATTTATCCTGTTGATCTTTAAATTAATTGATCAAGTCAACTGGAGGAACATGGCCTAAAATAACTTAAACAAAATTAATATATCACTTGTTTTTAATTATTTGAGCCCTATTTGATATTTTGTATTACAAATGTAATCCTACCAATGCAAATACATTTAACAAGTTTCAAATGCTTCAGGAAAAATTCAGTTTTTTTCCCCTGTAGGCAGAATAACTGTTGATAAAGAATACATTCCATTCTATTAAACTGAACACTGATGTAGGTAAGAAAAACAAACAGTTTTATATATGATGATTTGGGTAGTTGGGTAATGAAACATCTGCAAGTAAACAACCAAGTTCAGAGAACACCAAAGATTCCACACACAAAAACCATAATAATTATGCATTTTTTAGGTTTTTTATTTCTTTTAAAATGTAGATTGGAAAATAATAGAATACTGATTTAATAAAAATAAATCTTAATGCACTTGAAATAAAGCAGGTAGCAACTTGCTGGATGTGCAGACAATGTGGCGCATGTCTCTCCTTTTTCTTCTTATATTATTAGTCTGAAAATAGGGAAACCTCATTCTGCAGGTAGGATGACTCATTTATAAAAGTAGTTAGAACCTGGATAGCATAAAAACATCCTGAAAGAATCTCTTTAAGGATTTCTTGCCCCAGGGTAACTATATCTTTGAACCTCTAGTTGAAACATGTAAGCTTGAAGATTTCAGTCTGCCTTTAAGGTAGTCCCTAAAATATATTTAAAATTAGATGAAGAATTAATATTTTTGGAACTCTGATCAAATTCTTATGAGATATGACCTCCTGAATTCCAGTTTCAGCTTACATTTTTTTAAATCAAGCATCAAGTCATTATGTTCACAGGGGAATTGCCAGCAGGCACTATATAATTTTGTATGTCCTGCTTGGACTTGTCACCTTGTCAGCATTTTGATGATGATGATGATGATGATTAAATAAAAATGCTCCTTTTACATTAATGTTATCTGTAGTTGTTCTATTTCTCCCTAGTCCAATTACTGTGTTTTAACTCAATAATCCAGAAGAACATTATCCAGAGGTGCAGATAGCACCTTCATTAATAAAGTACCTATCAAAGGAAAATTCACATATTTATTTTAATGCTAAAACTCTTGGGTGGTAGGTAGCAAGACTTTTTATTAGTAGTTATTCTTCTACACTTGATCTTAGCCAAAAGGCTGAGAAGCGTGGTAAAGGAGAAGTCGAAGATATCTCACATGTTTTATTGTACTGTGAGTTATACTGAGTTTATAGGACAGTATATATTCTCCCCTTATTAGAGAGATTGCCAGGGAGGGCAGACAATTTTTATGTAGGCTTTCTCCTCCAGGACTCAAACCCTTCTATCACACATGCAGTGGCAAAATACTGTGTTGCGGCAATGTCCACAAGAAAAAATTGGTTACAGATCTATAGCCGTCAACTTGTGCCAATTTTTTGGAGATATCTCTAATAATGTTTGGAACATTATATTTACTCACACACTAATCGGCTATCCACTCATGTAAACTAGGGAGTGACCCTAACATTTTGAGAACATGTATTTTCTTAACAGGGATGTTATTATTTACTATTAATGTTAGTACTTTTTTATTATTATTATTATTTAATATATTGTAAAAAGTGATGGCTATTGCTGGTCTACGGCCGTAATAAAGTTATTCATTCATTCGTTCGTTCTAGTTATTCTTCACACATAGCATAATTCAGAAGAGTCATAGGGCAGCGAGTGGAATTTTTGTGTACAGAAACTTAAAAACAAATTGAATAAGTATAATATTCTTAATTTAGCTGTTGCAAAAGAAGTGTTGAATAAACATCTGAATCTCTTTTGTTTTTATCTACAGCTGTAAGCACACAACAGAAAAACCCAACAACTTTATTGCACCCTTTTAACTAATTTATACCTTATTATATAATAATAATAGTAAAGTTGGAAGGGACCTTGGAGGTCATCTAGTCCAACCCCCTGCTCAGGCAGGAAACCCTATACCATTTCGGACAAATGGCTGTCCAGTCTCTTCTTAAAAACTTCCAGTGTTGGAGCATTCACCGCTTCTGGAGGCAGGTTGTTCCACTGGTTAATTGTTCTAACTGTCAGGAAGTTTCTCCT